GCTCTTAGTCTCATTGATTTGGCTACCTTAGGGCTGCATTCCCCGCGCCCACGCGGTAGACAATCACCCCCCCAGCAAATTCACCACCCTTCCAACTACTAATTGACTAAAGGACGAAAAATTGTCGCAGGGATATAAAACGCAACCCTGACGGGCTTCAAACTACCATTTGGACCCGAATGGACGACTGGTATGACCAAATGATGGAAATTTGTCTCAGGGGCATAAAACGCGCCCCTGACGGGCTGCGAATTGAGGGGTATAAAACGCACCCCTGAGAGGGGGTTTAGACTTGGTTTCCAGTACGCACCAGTTCCTGTCATCCGATCTGAAGATCTCACGGCCGCACAGTGGCCTCCTTGAAAAATACTCGAAACGAAGACCAGCACTTCGCTACCGGTAGTGGGACTTCGCCCCGGGACACTATGCACCGATCAACCGATGGCAAAAAAATGCTCATCACACCGATGGGACCAATGGGACACACTTCAGCTTAGCGGAACCACTGCCCGCCCACCTTACGCGCTCCCGTTCCCGCTCCCGTCCCCCTCCCCGCCCTCGTCCCGCCCTCGTCCCGCCCGCGCCCCCGCCCCCGCCCCCGCCCCCGGACCCGGACCCGGACCTGGCGGCTCACCCCCCCTCCGCCTCCCGCCCGCGCGCCCCAACCCCCCCCCGCAGCGAACAAGACTACGGGTCGGGCGCACTCTCACTTGTGCGATGCTGTGCGACGACTCTGTGCTTCTTTGGGCAAGCCAGCTATCGCCGCTGAAGCAACGAAGAAGATAAGACGTGCGACATTGCCGAGCATGGTGCGTGCCGTCTCCTCCATAGCCCAACATCTCTCCGCAGTTGGATCGCTTTTCTTCTTTCTTTTTTTACCCAGTTATCTCTCAGCACCTTTCCCATGTTCTTTTCGTGTGCGTCTCTCGCTCTCCATGTCTCAAGCTGTCTGTGTGCGTAGTTTCCTCGGGCTGAGGCCGTGCCATGCCAATCTTCTCTCTGTGTCGTTCGGTTCTAGCGGAATGTCCCCAAGGACTCCCCCGCTGTCATTCTCTCACCTGTGTATGTCCGCTGAGAGCTGCCTACACCCCTCCCATGTCTTCCTCCCATCTCTCCTCTTACACAGTCAAACGAACTTCTTTATGATTCCTTCTTCCTTGGGCAGCTGTACAAGCACGAGCAGCAGACAGGGGTACAGTCTGTTGCGCAAGTGGGGGGAAAAGGTGGGCGAAGAGGGACGAGGGAGGGAGAGAGGGAACCCGGGATGCGAGTAGGAGGCAGGCAGGTAGCAGGAGCGGACATTGAATGGAGACTCTGGACAGCCAACTGTGCATCTCACCTTATAATTAGAGTCCCGGGAACATGCATGGAATGGAAGACTACCCCCCCAGCTGCTGCATGTGAGCGGCGAGAGGAACTTAACTTGGTGAGAGCAAGGAGTGGAAGACGAGTCAAATGACTAATGGTGGCAGTGACGAAGAGGACGACGAAGACGGGGCTAACTATGACAAGCGGGAGAGCAAGGAGTGGCTGATGGGGGAAGGAGGAGGAGGAGGAGGAGGAGAATATAGTTGCCCACGCCGCCTCAGGCGAGGAGTGCGGTGTGGCCCTAATACTAATGAAGGAATCTTGGACTCGCCTGGGTGGAAGTAATACGCTGAACAGATATCGTGCCCGCGCGAGTGGTGTTTCGGTGGCCGGCCCGCTACGTCTTCTCCCTAATAGGACGCACGGTCGCGCCCTTTGTCTGATTTGGGGTTAGTTTCAGTCTAGATGCAGGGATAATGACCGTACGTTCTAGTCGGGGGAAGACGGTAATGGTCAACAATGCCACTCGGTTGTCTTTCTGTCCCGAATAGAAGACATGAGCAACGCGACTGTCCTGTAGGGGTTCGATTCTTGCGTGCGATAAAGCGTCATCCCCAATTTTTGATTTTTTTGGGTGCAGATATTGCTAAGATTGAGAAGGGGTTGTGGGGGGGGGGGGGGGGGGGGGGGGGGGGKGAAGAAAGGAGGTCAGATGCTCTCGCTTTGAAACGGTATCTGAGCATGACGAGGTGGAAAAGGCGGGAAGAAGAAGAGCCGTAGCTACAGAGGGAAGGTGGTGCGAAAGGCGGGAGAAGCTGCTTAGGAGATGGGGGGTGCTCGTTTTGAAGTTTTTTTTCTTTTTTTCTTTTTAATAAATAAATGGAGGTGCTGATGTGAAGACGAAGGATATCTGGTCGAAAGAGAGAGAGAGACGCAGGAAGGCAAGAGAAGTTGTTGCTGAGGGAAGGTCTTGTCCTGCCTGATGCGACATGAAGTTGGTGGAGAGAGTGTCGGTGCTCTTGTGCTGTATTACTAGTAGTATATGATGATTCGTGTTGGACATAGAAGAGCGATTTCCCGGTTTTTGTTTTGGCTTCTTTTTGCGTTTGAAAGAGCGATTTCCAAAGGTTGTGGTGAAGGAGGAAAGGAGAGGAGAGGAGAGGAGAAGAGACGAGAGGAGAGGAGAAGAGACGAGAGGAGAGGGATCTCGACAGCTATCGGGCTGTTATCCATTAAAGACAGGGCAGGAGGGGGACGTCATCATGCATGTCTAGGCGGGGTAAATCTTATGGCGCGGGCCATGAAAGTCATCATGGCTTGGTGGCTACGCTGATGATGATGATGATGATGATGATGATGATGGGGACGATGGCGATGGAGGTAAAGAGGGAGTAGAACGGGGGTAGGTTTTAGTGTTATGCTAGAACCAATCGGTTCCTTGGTTCTCTCTTAATTGTCCGGATTCAATCTCACGTGTAGCTAGAGTATTATTGATTTACAGACCGGCTTGATGGCTATGAGGAGTATGACGACTATGATAATGATGACGCTGACGAGCATGGTAAGATGGAGTAGAGCGGGGGTAGGTTTTACTCTTAACCAATCAGTTCCTTCGTTCTCAGACCGGCGAAAAAAGAGATCTTAGCGGCGATTTGAAGCCGCAGTTTATTATGAAGTCAGTCGTCTCGTAGTGGCTGTTATATATGTCCTCTTCTCTCTCTCTGCCTACGGTTTACCGGGCAGTTCTGTTTGTGACGATATATATATATTATGTGTATACGTATTGTTTCTGCGTAACAGAGATTTTTGTTCCGTTTTTATTACAGTAAGTCCACTTCGCTCCGCTCCAAGGGCAGAGTGTCTTTTGCCGTTTTTTTTTTTTCCTCTCTCGGGCCTGTGATAGTTCCCCGATTGTACCAGCCACAGTGGTTGGTCTTGCAGATAGATGCCTAGCCGTATTCCCCCGAATGCGACGCATCCTTGTCATGAAGGTAGTGTCTGAACTATGGGCCTCGCTCCTCCACTTGCCACGTGCGCGAAAGAGGAACAAACTGTGGCCGTGTGTGTTTTCATGTTATAGCCGAAGATTCATTCGCACATTTGGTGACGAGTGGTCGAGCGAGGATCTATATTATGTCTTTGTGGCTAGATAGACCATGGTGTTTCTGTTGCGCTGATAGACCGACCCGGATTCCCCCGAACACACCGCACCTCCATCATGAAATGCATACAAGCTACCTTTTCGGTCCGATACGGTCGTGATGACAGAATGTATGTTGTATTCTGGGGGGAAGGACGGGTCGAGCTCCCAAGCATATGATGCAGGGCAATCCGCGTAGTTCTTGTGTGTGTGCGTGTGTGTGTGTGTGTGTGTGTGTGTGTGTTTCGCTTGTCCTCTCTCGTCAACCGTTCCCTACCGCACTACGGCCTTTCCTCTCCTCTCTCTGCTCCACTTCATCGCTTCATGGGTGCACACAACACAAGCCGTCTTTCGGGTCGAATACCGTCGTGACGACGGGGTGCTGTATTCGGGGGAAAGAGACTTGTCGAGCTCCCAAGCATGTATGCGAAAAGGGGTAATCAATCATGTATGGAGTGCATGTGTATGTGTTTTTTTCTGTTGCTTGTCCTCTCTCGTCAACCAAAAACCTCCTCCCGCTCGACGGCCTTCCCTCCTCTCTCTCTCTGCTGCACTTCATCGCGCCTGTTAACCACTGCGACTTTCTCCGTCTCATGGCCCTTGGAAAGAAACGAGTCCGTCACAGTGCTCCTGTGAAGGGCAAGGCAAGTTTCGCTCTATCGCTGTGCTCGCCCTGCACCCGAGTAGACCGCAGCACCGTCCTTATCGCTGTACCTGGACTGAAAGTTGCCCCAAAAACGGCGGCGCTAAAATGACCGTGCGTTCTGTTGCGGTGAAGACGGGCACACGGCTTTCCTCGCCTGAAACCGACGGTAATTGCCCTGTTTGGACGGATGCATTTCCCTGGCCGAATCAGACCGTAACTGCAGTCAGATGCATCGGCGCGCGATTACCCCCAATTTTTGAAGCCGTACGAGCTCGTTCATGATGGATGATAGGTGAAGCTTGTGGTTAATTGAAAAAAGCAAAAAGCGCTTGTGGTGGAGTAGTAATAATCGTATTAAGTGGTCCACACGCGTTTTAGGGTTGGGACTGTGTGGCCGCGGAGGATCGCAGAACGAGTCGTGATGATGAATGATGGGATGATGGTGCGCGATGATAGCGGGCAGGGAGTATGGTGTGTGCCGATGGTGGGTGACGGACGATGGACGACGGTGGGCGACTCAGACGATGATGGTTGGATTGGAAAGAGACGAAGCAAGGGGGTGGTCGTGACGATGCGTCAGAGACAGACGCAGCGCACTGGTAGTGGGTAGGTAGGTAGGGAGGGAAGGTAGTTGATGCGGCCTGGTCAATCAATCGATTAGTGCCTATATCCCGCGGCTAATCAGGACTGAACTGTAGGAGACCTACCTTAATTACTAGTAGGAGGGTATGCACTCACGCTGCGGAGACCTACCTGACGTACCTTAATTAGTAGGGTATGCACTCGCACTGGAGAGAGAGACCTACCTTACCCCAGGTAGTAAGTAGGGCATATAATACTCACACCGGAACATTCTCTCGAAAATAGCCGTCAGATACATCCAGCTACAAGCCCTACTGGTAGTAGTAGTGTTGATGGATTTGGACGAGTAAGCAGCCAGGGATTTATGTGTATATAAATATATCGCCTTCGCATTCAAGGGATCTTAGCTTGATCGAATCCAACGTAAATGTTAACGGATGTGTTAAAAAAAAAGAAAAGAAAAGAAAAAAAAGGAAAGAGTTTGCAAGTGAAGGATACAACAATGATGATGCGCCATGAGTGGAGGGAGCGATAGTCGTGGTAGCGAGAGTTAAGGAGGAGGATGACGACTTACTGGTTACGAGGAGGAGGATGATAACGATGATGATGATGGATGATGATGATGATGGATGATGATAATGATGATGACGACGACGATAATGTTTCCATGGTGAATGCGGCGCTTGGACCACGCCTCTCATGGGATGCTCCTTGTTCTTATCGGAGCTGTTTGCGGCGAGCCTCTACGTCTTCCCCCGAACATAACGCACCCTCTTGGGGAATGGCTACAAGCAATAAATGCGGCCGAGTACTACAGTCATATTGAGGGTGCGTTGTGTCCGAGGGAAGATGATAGTCGCTATACATCTGGCAAAAGCACAGATTTCAATAAAGGTGTGTATTCTTGTCCGTGTAGCTCTGTCTACCGCATCTTCCCACCTAGTCCGCCGTAAACTCAGCGAAGGGGTCTCTATCCGTCCTCTCTTGCTCTCTAATAGACTTCTATAGCTGGAAACTCTCTCCTTCTCCGTCTTCCCTCGGGCGTCCGGTCTTTGCTGCTCCTCCCCCCACCAATGCTCCTCGCCCTCTATCTCTTTCTCTCTCTCCCCGCCTGTCTTAACCACCCCCCTCGA